ACTCTGTCCATCAGTGCATTTGTAATTCTTAGGTGCAAGAACTGATGAGTGAGTTCTTCGTTGCAGTCCATAGGTAACCCTGTTTGGCTCTCTCCTGCTCCTTTACAAAGGCGTTTTTTTTGCCTGGCCTTTCAGTTCACTTGGATTTTTGTGAAGAGATGTGCTTGAACACTCCTCCTCTGGTATTCCACACTGGCTGTATCTCTGCAGGCATCAAACTGAGAGGAAAAATATTCGTATCAGGGGAAATGGGGGTAGGGTTAGGGGAGTAGAATAGTGAAGAGCGGAGTGTTTCAGTAAAACTGCTAACCTTGAATTATGCAATCGGAAAAACAGCTCTTGCCAAAATACAATCCTAACGGAGTTCAGAGTACTGTCAGTGTTTGCCAAATACCCCAGCCAAAAGGATGTCTCGAAGAGGGGGAGGAGGGATCCGTTGCCATATGCCCAGCATTCACAGTATTGTGGAAGAACTGTGGAGTCCTTCAGGCGTGGAGGCGTGTTCATGGTCTCAGGTGCACCCTCGGTGTTGGTACCATGATCCAACACAAGACAGGAACAGTGAGGTCAGAGAGGAGTAGGCACGTATATCAGACTGTCTTTATTTCTCAAACCTTTCAAGGTTTTGCTTCATGTTTGTGTAGTAGTGGGAGGAGTTCTGGCAAACATTATCAGACTGTTCTGCATATGTTTTGACTCTTCTTGTTTCATGTTTCTTCTATGAAAGAGACTGCAACAAAGTTCTTGTAATTTTTAGATCAATGTTTTGTTAAACTATGACAGCTATCCATGACAGAGAGCCAAGTGACTTTTGCAGCTGACCACAAAATTGAGTCTGACTTGTGGTGCTTAGTCATTTTTTATTTTTTTTTTAATACGTGACACATTCCATGTGTGTATGTGTTTTTCATTGTTCTTTAAATATAATTAGAACATTGCTAGGAGCTGTGGTACAAATCAATCTTCTCCAGCAGCTTACTTTCTTTGATTAATAAAGTTTTAGAAACTTCTCATCATGTTGTGGCTATGGATGAAACCTCTCTGGTTATACTTTAAACAATTGGGCTATTGTGGGATTGATTGCTCTCTACAGTATTATCTTCTCTGGTTTGCCCATTACAATTTTAAATGATCCAGACAACAGAGCTCTTGCTGCCCCTGCGGAGAGACTCTCCTACAATCCAATAGAAATGACCATTAGGATAGTTTTTCCCAACCTCTGCCGAAGTTCTTCATAGAGGAAAAAGATGTTTATAAGATGTCTTTCAGACTGCTGGGGCCTGATCCAAAATGAAGAAATTTGGAAGAAAAAGAATCACTTCATCTTTAGCAAGAGATCCCTATGTTTCTTCTCCTCTAAGAGCAGAAGCATTCCTTACCATTTTTTTTCGCTGCTTTGTGCTGTCTGATTTTTAGCAGGTCTCACAAGCAATTCTTTGCACCACTTCCCCAGGTTTGGACCAACCTTGCCCGTTCTCCCCGGCAGTATTGGTTGTAGGTTGCAGTTGATGCCACTCTTGCGTTGCTCATAGGATGGATAGCATTTTACCTTTGGGGTGTGGAGCAAATCTGAAACGAAGGGATTATCACTCTGGTTATTTTCTTGTAGCTTTAAAAAACTAAAAGCATGTACAGTTTCATTAGCTGAACTCTGTTCCCCATTTCTTTCTCTGCCCTGCAAGACAATTGGATGCAGAGCTTGATAAAATGATAAAATGAGTTCAAGGCATAGTCCAACATAGTGTGCAGGAATGTGCCACTGTCTCCTCAATTCTAGTGCTGTATCACAACTGCTTTTTGAACCCAACACGCCTGTATTCTGCCTGTTATTACTGGATGGTACCGCAGCTTGCAACTGTTGACACAGCTAATCCAACACAGCAGAGTGGTGGCAGTTTTAAGAATGTGTGATTTGCTATTGAATTAAAATAATGATGATAAATAGATCCTATTTTTGTATAAACTTGAAACCATTGTGGATCTCTTGTTTGAAGTTCTTAAACAGGTTCTGTGAGAGGAGGCTGGGCTAGCAATGTCAGCAAGTTGCCAGTTTATTTGGGCTCAGGGAAGATAAGATTTTTTTTTCCTTTGTTTCTTTGGAGCTTCCATAAATATTTTCTCCATAAACTGAAAGACTCTGTAGGAAACGTAAAGAGATGCCTCCAAAACACAAAAGGCCGTAAGTCATCAACCGAATGCTTTCAGGCAAAACAACATGGGAATGCTCATTAGCCCCTTCCGAATGTTTTGTAATTGTAAAATCATTTCTGTACATCAGGATTGGGGAAAATCAGCTGCAGTGTGTTTAATGGGAAGAGCATAGGACAGGAAATAGGAACGCTACTTACATATAGTCAGGCTTTTGCATCCTGCCAGGGTATTGCTGATCTCTTTCTGCTCTCCTAATGCTGTTGCAGAGGCTTAGGAAAGAGCAGGCCTGAGGCTTATTCTTGCCTGAATACTTTTTAAACTTAAGCATTTCTAAACATTAACATAGAAAAGTACAGCTGGCTGTTTTGACATCCCCTCTTTCAAGAGAAATGTCGTGCAGAAGTTCTTTTTAGTTGCCACCTTGTCATTGCTGATTGGATTACACTGTCCTTCTCTATGTTGAAGTAGCAGGGGGTAAATTGTCACGGTGTTGAAAGGGTGGTCTCCCCGCTCACCCATGTTTTGGCTGTCCAGAGAGCCACCTCCAAGCGCTGGGGCTGAGCAGCGTAGCCCCAAAGCTCAGCACTGAGCTGACATTCCTTCACAGCCCCTCTTCGATCATACCTGTGCTTGCTCACTTCATCTAATGTGGCTGTACCTCAGAATGCAAAACTTTGCCCAAGATAGATAGCAGCAGAGCATCTGTAGGCTTGTTAAGTCAAACTCTGATAAACGAGCCATACCCGGTGCGTACCTTGCAGACAGCATGCCAGAGTATTCGCTGACCTTAAGACTCAATCAGATCATGTTGGCAGAGTGTGGTTCTGAATGTAACTGCCTCCGCCTTCAACAGCTGCGTTTACTGCATAAAGAAAAAGCTGTTAAGCCTGTGCCCTTTGCGCTCTCAGCTCAGTTTCTCTAAGAGGTTTATACATGATTCAAGAAAAGTCTGCAACAGAGTAACTCTGCTCCCCCATAATATACCCAACAAGAGGAGAAGTTGTTTTATATTTTAGGTTGGTGGCAGCATTTTTAAATTATTTCTGACATAAAAATTTTTGAACTTTATCATTATGAAGTTGACAGTAAATAGATTTTTTTCTGAGGAAAACCTGTTGACTTCCATTATATATCGGAGATCCATTTGGAAGAAATACAGAGTCAACTTATTCCTGACTTTCTGTCTGCTGACAGGCTGCTTTGGAAATGAGAGCTGAGTTAAAACCAGTAGATCAAAGAGTTTGGTAAAGCTAAATGCCTGAATAGTTCAGGTGCTTATTCGAAGCTTCTCCAAGCTTTCTGGATCCGCTGTGTGTGGTAGTGTTACAGAAACCCTTTTCCTTGTGATAGGCTGACTCTGCTGCACGAGCTTTTCCTGCAAAAACCAAGAGGGTAACTCATCTTGCATGCTTTCGGTGATGATGTGTCTGGTTATAGACAGAGCACCAGGAGTCCAAAAGGGATCCGCAATGAAAATGAATGTGAGGAGTAGGAAAGTTAACTTCATGTTCCCTAAACTGTGCGAGCATACGAAGTTGTGCAGATTAGCCTCATTTCTAACTCTCTCAAGAAAGTCTTTGTGAAATGACTTGCATGAATTCGAACTGTTCTTTGAATTGCAGATACAGGGACATCACATTGCGGGAAGTGTTTCTGTATTCGCATTGTTGTCTTTTCTGCTTTCTTCTGTAATACAACCCAGTGACATTATTAGGCTACATAGAATGGTTGTAAAGTCTCCGATTACCGTGTGAAATCTGAAAGTTTTTTTAGTTTGTTGATCTTTTACAGTCATCAGGAGTGGAATAGAGCAACAAAACAGCAGTCTTTCTTTCAGGAAGAAGCTCAAAAGAATTTTTTCAACTGGAGCCACTTTATTATCATGCCATATCATGTCGTTTTCTTAGCTTTGTAAAAGGCACAGTGCCTAACATTTTGAAATGTTAGTGTGGCTTTTCTGAAAGATTTATTTTTAAACATATGATTGTCAGGAAGATAGAATGTTTATGAGTAAAAGTCATTGGGAAAACAAAAACAGTTGGAAAATGGAACACCGTTGTATTTGTAAAGTCAAACAATTTGGGGGAGGCGAGGTGTTTTGAAGAGAACATTGGAATTAATGGCCCTGGCATGTTGTTCTGGCAATGTCTTTAGACACCACTGCAGCCTGACAGATTAATTGGCAGCACGCACTAGCCTGTTGCAATCCAGGGTTCACAGATAGTTCTGACTAGATGAATGACGGACGGGGTGTTAGTAGGGTTGGGCAAAACAGTCTGGACAAGAACACAGACTGCTGCCCAAGTATCATGCTTAATTCAGACTGACCCTTTCCCAAGGCCTGAATAAGTTTGAACTACAGTTGTTGTTTTTTCCCTATGAGCTGCTTCCTAAAATATTGCCTTTTAAAAAAGAAAAAGGGCAAAGTCATCCATGTCTCTGCACTTTGATTGCAGGCTGGAAATCGAGTAAAACAATAAATACATTGCAAAAGAGCATGTATCATCTAAACCTCCAGTCCAGCTTTGCAGTCCCAGGGACATAGAGTTGAAGTATTCTTCAGATGTGCAGCCAATTTTATCATGCCTAACTAAATCAATCTTTTCAGCGCTATGAAGTTTGCTCATCACTAGCTAATAAGAGTGTTTTAAAAAGAACTTGGTAGACTCTACAACCATATCTTTTCCAGAAAAAATATTATTATGTATTCTTAAGTACCTGGCTCAGTAAACTGTTGTGAATGAATTGTTATCCACCTTCCCTATCAACCTTCTAAATTACCTATGAACTTTGCAGTTACAATGTTTAATTATTTTCCTGATCCAAATCACATCATCTTGCCCATACAGGACAAAACAACACTGGAGACCCTGACTCAGCAACTGGCAGTAAAACAGAGTGAAGACGGGAAGTTTAGCCACGCAATGATGGATTTCAACATGAGTGGAGATTCTGACGGTCAGTACAAATGGCTTATCCTTCTTTCCAGGTTTGTGTGTACATGTCAACAGGATCTGGAGGAGAATCCAAGTGCTTTGGAGGCCTGTGAGGAGTAAGAGCGATTAGCAATAAGTGGCTATGAAACAAGGCAGGAAAAAATGATTCATCGTGTGGTGGTTTAAGTCTGGAGGTGATTTTTAGCCTTCTGTTTTGTACACTGCAGTTCTCAAGACTGGACCAAGAATGTATTTCTGATGGTAAAAGGGAATAAAGGAGGCAAATAGGTGTGAGATAAGCAAGATCACACAGTGAATCCATGAATTATAGACCTGATCATCCATAGGTGTTGCACGCTCTGCATCTGTAGGAACTTTCTTGGTTTGATGAAGCAAGTGAATGATCATTTCTTTCTCTGCTATTGCTTATGTTGCTAGGGAGAGGTAAGCATAAAACCAGGCAGATGCGTAAATGTTCGTTTGCTAGTTAGAGAATTGATTAAGAAGAAACGCCTGATGTTGCCATATATCACCCCCTTCCCATAACAAAAAGAGTAGAAGATGGGTAACATAATATGACCAGCATTCAGTAAGCAAGAGAGGAAGAAAGTAAAAAGAAAATCTACATTGCTAAGTGTTGGGTTTACGTTATATGTTATTAAGTAGTAAAAAATGGTTTAGAAAAGCTGCTTAATGCTTTGTGTTGAAAAAAAAATTTAAACTCTTCATCAAGTCTATACTATGTGATACTGAATCAATAGAATAACTAAAAACTAGATAATATACAATATATGGTATTTCCTACTGCTTCAAGTAAAAGAAAGAAACGCCATTAACCTATTGTGAGCACTGACTCATTGGATGTGCAGCACCTGACATAGGTTACTGATGGCAGAGGAAGCTGCATAATGAAACACAAACTGGGAATATTTTTCTCTTTCTTTTTAGGAAGTGCGGGAGTTTCAGAGTCTAGAATTTATCGGGAATCCAGAGGACGTGGTAGCAATGAGCCCCATATCAAGCGCCCAATGAATGCATTCATGGTGTGGGCTAAAGACGAACGGAGGAAGATCCTTCAAGCTTTCCCTGACATGCACAACTCCAATATCAGCAAGATACTAGGTAAGAATGGTAGAGCACTGTACTTTCAGTAGCAAAACTCAAAAAACTTTTGACTGAATACAGCTGAGCACCTGACACAACAGAATTACTGTCTCTAGAACGTCTATTTTGCTACTTAATGACTGCAGTAAGGGCAACAATGATACGAGCTTCCACTGTGCTGCCCAGCAGTATGCATTAACCATAAACTGAAATGTTCTTGTGTCTTTCTAATTACTGAGATTGTGGTGGTGGTTTTGGTGTGAAAACATGAACTAAATAGACAAAACCAGCTCATTTAATTAGGCTATTGAACAAGTACAAAATGACTGCTATCATTTATTTGCCCTCATATTTCATCTAACCAGATCTGTGGGGTAGCACACCAGTATTTGATTTGTGCCATAGCACTTTCTGTTCAATTCAATGGCCATAGGGAAAAGATCCTAAAATACATCCCTTTTTTTTTTTTTTCACAGTGACAGTTTTAAAGGATTCTTATTATGTTCCTGTTACATTAAATTTTCCTTTAGTACATTATCTCTATCACAAGCTGCTTTTATTCTAAATATCATAGAAGCATAGAATCATAGAATGATTTGGGTTG